GATTGAATGAGAGGTTTAGCCTTCCATCAAAACACTTAACCCACGCAAGGATGAGAAAAGAATAAGAGAATTCGAGAGAAAGTAAAAATAAAGATTCTTATTTCGGCCAAATCTCAAAAACTCAAAGTGTCTAATCCAACCCCTAATTCAGAACTTTAGTAGTTTATTTATAGGTTCTCATTAGTGTAAACTAAATGGCCAAAATTCAGGCCTTAATTATAACTATAAGCCCAATTACAATTATCTAATAACAAAGGGTCCAAATGCAATCCCTTAATAATATTCAGCAAACTTGCCTCAATTTCAAAAATCATAAAAAATTGAAAATGACTCCAAATCCAGAGATCCATACATTCATTTTGAAACCTTGGATGTGTAGAATCCAATATAGCTGGAATCAGTCAAAAACGATATCTATAGAAAAAGTTATAGCCGAAAGAGTAGTCAGAAGTCGGAATAACAAAAAATACAGAGTTAAAGCATTTATTTGTAACAAGCTCAATTTATTTAAATAAGTAGAAAATTATAAAATCTCTAAAAATAAAGCCTATTAAAAGTATTTATAAATCAAAATAAAACTATAAATGTAAACCTAAAATATGTTATATTAGATACTAGGAATAGGTTTCTATATTTTGATTTCTTTTTAACTCTTATCTATGATGTTGCAGGATTTATTGAATATATGAGAAATCGTTATTCATTATATACTCTTAGAAACCTTGTATTTGAGGAATTGGTATAAGAAAACATTAAAAGAATGCATCTATGTTTATAGAATAGTTTTTAAGTATTTATTCATTAAAATATAGAAAATGATGAATGATGAAATCCAATCCTTAAACACTAATATTTTTATATCTTAGTCAAATTCAATTCTTGAATCTCCAAATTTTTCAACTCATGAATATTTGTAAAAACATTAATATTTTTGTTAACAATTTTAATTAGGATAATAGAGATTATAAAAATATCTACCCATCCTATAGATATGACAACCTTTACTCCCTTACTAAAACAAAAGCTTGGTATGCTTGCCAAAATCCTAATAATTTTTCCTTTGGATTTTTGGGCTCCCTCTTGCACCTCTAACAATGTATATTACTAGGCTAAATTTCAAAAAATTATGGACTCTTAGTCAATTGCAAACTTGTACAAAAAGGGTCAACACTCTAAGCCTATTTTGACTATTTTCTTAGTTTTAGGTATTTTTTGTAATTTATATTTTAATTTCTATTTTTATCTTCTCACAACTTAATGTAATCTTGATATATCTTGCTTAAATAGTAAAGAATAAGCTAACATGATTCAAAAACATAATTTTAACTTCTAACTAGATCGCACTATGTAATGTTCTAAAATTCTTATTTAAAGATAAATAATTTTTTATAGCAAAAAGAGAAAATAGAAGAATTGTATTGTGTTTTATAGATTTAATAATTGAATAAAAGTAAAACTTACATTTCTCTTATGATTTTTTCATAGGATTCAAAAGTGTTTAAAACTTTCAAAAGAATAGTCTCACGATTTTAAAATGATGAATAAAATTTAAATTTACATCTAACAAATTATTTGGTTCACATTGCATACGTATAAGTCTAAAACACCATTAATAATACTTTTCAAGAGAATAAATTTTGTTATTTAAAACTGATTGTGAATCACCATAGAATAAATAATCACCAATGTTACAGATACACTTAAAAATTATTAATTACAACAAAATTTACTAAAGTATTATAAATTCTAAAATTTGACAACTAAAATATTTACAGAACTTGGTTTACATAAAATGTAAATATAATAAAATATTACAATTATTTAAATTATTCTAAATTCTATAGAGCAATTTTTCCTTCCAATATCACTAGACTATGATCTTAGAACGAACCAATCTTCATTTTATCCTCTTCAATTTCGTCTCTTGAAAATAATTAGTAAAGGTGAGTATTTTCCACCTCACTAAATCTCTTATCTGATAGAATAATTTAAATAAAACTAAAAATATTATCTAACATATTTTAATATATACTCATTACTAATAACACTCAGATCACACTAATAATTATCATAGTAGAGCACATATAGTAAGTCAATCACATTTCTACATAGATCTATGTGTCATAAAACATGTATTATATCACATCAATCAATATGTCACAATACATGTGTCTTAATCACACTTGTTGATGTATTACAACACATATATCATAATAACATCAATCGATATGTTATAATGCATATATTATAATCACACAATTTCTATACTATTTCACATTTATCACACTTTCATATTCATTGCCTTTGGAATCCCATAAGGACTTCATAGTATAGATAGTTGTTGGTTAGCCATTGTACACAGATATAATGTGTACCAACCTAGCTCCTTTTAGCAAAACTGTTGGTTAGGGGTTTAGGTCAGAAAATGAGTGTGAGGCCTGTGGTATCTTTTCTCTCTATTTTCATTAATTATGTGCATTTAAAGAAAAACATCCACTACACTTATTTCTCTCAGATTTTCAAAATCTCTCTTGTCTTCGACACCCTTAGTGTATCTTTGCTATCTATACTTATTCTCAACATTAATTCTCATTTCATTTTCACATCTTTTTCATAGATCAACATGTTATAATACATGAGTTATGATTTATATAACTCCATATATTAGAATACATGTATTATAAGTACACCCTTTGATGTATTACAATACCTATATCATAATCACACCTATCAATCGATTATGATTCGTATATTATAATCACACATCTCATAATTTCACTATCATGTTATATTATTCACTTTTCATCAATAATATAAATCCACTCATTTTAACAAACATCAGCCATTAGACAAACATTTATATTTATTGTATCATATCAGTCTAACATAGAAAATTATCAAACAATTTTACACCGCATATACTAATACAATGTGCCGAAGGTCGGACACATTTGAACTTAAACCAATCATACAATTTTAATACACACATGTTTTTGCTTGAGCGAGCCCTACTCTCACCTAGATGAGACCTTCCTTGCTTAGGTGAGACAACTAGACAGTGAAATTACTAATTTTTTGCTATTTTCGCTTGAGTGAATAACATTTTGTTTACGCGAGAGGCATTCTCATCTGAGCGAGAATGGGTTCATAGAGCTCTTTGTTTTTCTTGCGATCCTCGCCCAAGCGAGCTCCATCTCACTTGGGTGAGATGCTTCTCGCCTGAGCGAAACTCCCTTCTCGCCTAGGTGAGAGCACAATTGGAGCAACTTTATCCTATTTCGCTTTCTTGAGCGAGAAATCTTGTACCAAAATTTTTATTTTTCCATATAAGAGCAACAAGATTGAGGGTGTTACACACTATGCTTACATCTCATAATCCTTCCTTGATTAATGTTGGGTTAATTTTACTAATTGTATTCCCATCTTTAATTTCTTATCTATTTTTTTTTATTTCCGATTGAATTAAAATGATAAAACTTCTAATCAAATAAAAATTATTGAAATTTAGGATGTTAAACGGAGAATAACATCAATCTGCAAAGATAATTCCATGAAGTGAGGGTGTGTGTATTTCTTGTCTCCTTGTAATTGAATTTATGATTAAGCTTAATTAATCTTAATTATCAACGTTTAAGGATATTATCTAAACTTAAAATTTAAAAAGTTTAGGCCATGCAACCGAATTTGCAATAAAAGAGGGAAGGTGCTGCTGTATTCAAATGATTTGAGGACCAAAGTGAAAATAATAAAATTTTGAGGCTTAAACATTTTAATAAAACTTTGGGCTAGATAATTAAACTAGATAAAGGACAAAATAATAATTTCATAAACTTTTGATGGTTAAAGGTATAATACATTCGCAAATATAATATTCTGTAAATTAATAAAATAGTTAGTGAAATTGAAAAAGTTAGAGAATAAATTTTGAAGTTAATATCACTTAAATAAAAATATCGATAAAAAAAGATAAAATATTGAGGTCAAAAGACGCATAATGATAATATTAATTTAATAAGAAATTGAGAGATTGAAAAAAAGATAAAGTAAATATGATAATTATAATCATACCGAAAATAAAACATAATTTAATATCTTTGAAATTTTTAAAAGAGAAATTAAAATATATACGAAATTAAGAATTGTAATTAATTTTTGTCATGTTAATAATCTTCCCACAACACCTCATCGGCATTTAATTGGACTTCAATCTCCAATAATGTACCAACCGTAAGAAAATCACAAATGAGGCAAAAAGATAACAATCTGACCTTATTTTTTATAATTTTGTAACGATTGTTAGGAGATTGAATATTATACACAGAGTCGAAGTCATCACCAAGGCTGTTGATGAAAATGTTATTGATGGTATCAATGGAAAGCCAACAATACAGCTTAAACATGAAGATGACGACGTTGGAATGATCAAGGGATGAAAACAACTGTTGAGAGAGACATGGGTTCATAAAAATTTGGGTGATAGAAGAGAAAAGTTTATTTATTTATTACTTTTTGAGGTAAAATTAATTTACTAAATAACCCTATTAATAAGTTTTTTTTTAATAAAAGTATGAAAAGAAAATCATTTTTTTAAAATTAATTTCATTAATTCAACTTTAAATTAAATAAATCTAAATATTTTGATACATGTAAGTGACATGTTCTTTCTTTCGAATATTTAATTAACCAGGCTGGTGTTAGTAAAGTTTATTAAATAGTTATTTGAAATTAGAATTGGAGAGTGATGAAAAGAGAGAGGTACAAGTTGGAAAACATAAAATATGGTTTGATTTAACATGTTACTTAGTGGTACATGGAGTCGGTGTTATGGGGCAAAGGGTAGTGTCTGTATCAGAAATGGTATGATAATGGTTATTGCATTTGATGAGTGACTTTTCCATCGTCTTTTCCGTTGGCGTGGAAGTTCTCACCACCACACCGCAACACCTTCCTCTCTATTATTCTCACTTGTCATTTTTCGAAAGGGAACCCAAATATTTAATATCGATAGCGAAATTTATCTTCAACAACATGCCACGCCAAATGCTTTCTGGCCTTACAAATGTTCCTCCCCCCACCCCCCCAATTTCTCCTTTTCTCAACGCTTTATATTTATGTTAAGGGAATGGACACACATTTTCGACATTAAAGTGAAAGATTGTAAAATTCAATGGAATATACGTCCTTCGTGAATTTCAATTAATAAAAAAACTCCGTTACTGATATTATGTTTTCAAAACGCATTATTCCAATTGTTTTATTTTTTGTTCAAGTCAGAATTATTCACAACATGATGAGACAAGCTTTCACTCCAGATATCTTCTGTAAGGGACAAGGGGAGACGATAATTTAAAATTTTCTAATTTCATAATTTTTTTAAAATAAGAACTATAAAGTAATAGATTAGTATATATTTATTTTTATAAATATTGTATCATTCATTATATTTAAAAATGAACTATTTTCCCTTCCTTTTCTTCTCCTATAAAACCCAACTCCTGACCATAGAGAATTAAGCATGTATTCCTTGAACTAACCCTTGCTGGTTTTTATACGTTGAAAATGGGATACAATAATGGTATCCTAATAAGCAAAGCATTACACCTGGCTCGATTCAGGCGTCAAGAATATTAAGTATTTTATTTTATTTTGTTTTTCAACCAAGAAATTGGATAACAAAATGGTATATATATTATAAATTACATTGCACAATTCCTTAAATATATTTACTATATATGTAGGTACAGGCGTTGGAGACATAAATATTGTAATTTATGTGAATCTCGAACGTTATCTTTTCTGTCCGAGGCTAAGTTCTGAAGTGAAAGCAAAAACACATTCAAGAAGAAGGTTAATAATTATCCCACTGAAGCCAGACACCATACTCTCTCTGGCTAGTTTGATTGTTCTTTCCAATAGAGACTGTGAGAGATTACTTTCACTGGAAGAAACTCGTTCACTCACCCTTTATTGCTTTCTGCACGATTTACTGCATGAATATGTACATAGACACACCTATTAATTTTCTGTCATTCCATTGGTACCCTGCTCCCGTGATAAAATATTCTGCATTAATTTTTCGTGCATTCAATGTGACTAAAAAGTCTCTGCATGACTTGCCATGATAGTTGTATGCAGGAACAGTGAACTTGGTTTTCTTGTCCTTAGTGATCATTACTTGATAAATAGTGAGACTGAACATATGTATAAGTGTTATATTATTTATCTTTTTGGTTTAAATTTTTGGTAGGTGGTGGTACCCTTTAGTCTGTACTAATAATTGACTGGGGAAGGTCCTAAATGGAGAAAGTGAAACTATCTGCTAATTATGATTCTGATGGCGGCGGGGATGAGGAAGGTTCATTTCCGATATTCAAGCTGCCAGAGAGTGAAAATTTTGGACAGCAAAGCAGTAGAAGAGAGGAAGATGATGCAAAAGAAAGAAGATTGGATGGAATTGCTCACTCTAATACTGCAAGCAGTAAGTGGATGGCATTTGCTACGCAGCCTGAAATCACAGTTGATGGCAAATTTACAATAAAGGATCAAAGTACAACAAAAGAAAATGAGTTGAGAAATCATCCAAGAGAGCAATCATCTTCAGATCATCGAACTTTAACTGAAGCGACCATAGCTGAGAGAGCTGCTGAATGGGGTGTTGTGGTGAATTCTGGGAATATCAAAGCAATGGAGGTGGAGACAGGGAGTGCTTCTTTTGATGGTGACCAATGCAAAATCTTATCGGATAGATTTGTTGAATCAACACGGACGTCGTCGGGGGAATCAAATTATGGATCTGAACCATCATCATCAGGGCTGTTCCCCAGAGTGTCACAAGAGTTGAAGGATGCACTGGCGACGCTGCAACAGACATTTGTTGTCTCAGATGCAACCAAGCCAGACTGCCCAATCATGTATGCCAGCAGTGGCTTTTTTGGCATGACTGGCTATTCCTCAAAGGAGGTTATTGGAAGGAATTGGTGAGCATGTTTCCCATCTTTATATACACACCAAGTCAAGATATATGCTGTTTCAGTTTGCATCCTTTGCTTGCTAACTGAACATAACATGCTGTGAAAATGGAAAATCTTAAAGTTATGGGATGGGGATTTTATATATGGGAGAGTGAGTATTGAAAGGTATTTAGCTATGAAATACAGTTATTCTTTTATTTAAGCAGCCAATTTCTGGTTGCAGCCGATTTCTTCAGGGGCCTGATACAGACAAGAATCAAGTGGCGAAAATCCGGGATGCAGTTAGAAATGGGAAAAGTTATTGCGGCAGGATTTTAAACTACAAGAAAGATGGAACTCCATTTTGGAATCTTCTCACTGTAACCCCCATCAAAGATGACCATGGCAATACTATTAAATTCATTGGGTCAGTCCTGCCTTTTCTTCCTGGTTTTTCCTGTCCATGTATCAATAACTTTGATCACTAAATTTTGTATATTGACCTGTTTCATTTTTACTGAAGTTCACATGATAATAAAAAATCCAATTGGCTAACTTCAAATATGCTTTGCTTTTATGTCGACCAAGCCAAAGGTTTGAAGCAAAATGCTTGTTATGTAAAATCATTCTTTGACAATAACTTGATAGCTTAAGTTTTTCAGATGGCATGGCATTAGAGTCCAAGACAATCTTTTTCCCAAACCATGGTTTGGGACATTTCAAATGACAACCAAACACACACTTAGTCTTCAATAAATCCTAGTCATCATTATCATTTCCTTTGTCTTTACTTCCACAACATAGATCTTTTTGCTGCTTGGCAAATTTGGACTGTGGCTTTTGTTGCTTCAAATGGTAGGAACAAGTTTAGTACATTTGCTTGAAAATAGAAGAAAAATGAAAAGAATACATTATGCCACGCAATGCAAAAGAATCTAACTACTGAAAGTGATGCATTTAAGGAAACAGCAATGATACTTACACAAACTTTATCTTCACAAACTCCCAGGCCAGCCATTGGATAACACCTTGGTTCCCAGATTAATCCACTTTGGAATATCTGAGGGCTTGTGTTGTGAGGATAAAAACTTGTACAACTATCATTACTTAACAAAGAAAAAAGACAATATTTCTATGGAAGATTAGAACTCTAAGCTTAATATAGCTAGAAATGTGCTTTAAGGGCGCAAGGATGTATATTGAATGTGAGTTCTTACAATTAGTAAAAGCTGCAGTGTGCATAGTGCTTATTACAGTTATTAGTACAGAATGCAGGTTGAGGTGAGCAAGTACACAGAAGGCGTGAATGAAAAGGAGTTACGACCAAATGGATTGCCTAAGTCATTAATTCGTTATGATGGTAATGTGTTGAGACAATTTTCAGTAGTTTGTGAGATCCTGACTCTATGTTTAATTATTTAATTTCATTTTCCAGCTCGCCAAAAGGATAAAGCTTTGGGTTCCATCACTGAGGTAGTCCAAACTGTGAAGGACCCAAAATCCATTATCCAGGATAGGAATGATGATACTTATACCAAGCATGAAGAGCAAGAGAAATTCAATTTGGATTTTGTATTGCCAAAGTCTGCTGAAATTGGAAATACAAGTACACCTGATAGACAAACTTCCACCCTAAACATCCAACGTGTGAGTTTTTGTCTGGACAAGAGCAAGACATCTCGAAAATCAGCACGGATTTCTTTCATGGGGTATTTATTTTCTTTAAATTTTATCCAAAATTCAGCTCAGGTCTCATTTTCAACAATGCTTAACTCACTGCTAAAATATATTTTGAAAGCTTTTGTTCTTTGCTTACATTTGATTCGCCAACTACATCTTCTATTGAGTTATTGATGAATGTTTAGCTCATAGATTTGAACTCTTGTGGGATTATATGTGTCTTATATGCTTTTCATTTTCTTTCAGTTTTAAAGGGAGATCTCTGAGTTCTGCAGGGAGAGGTGAGGAGAAGCCCATTGTTGAACCAGAAGTTTTGATGACCAAGGAAATAGAGTGGTCTAATAGTTGGGAGCGTTCGCAAAGAGAGAGAGATATAAGGCAGGGAATTGACCTAGCAACAACGTTGGAGCGGATAGAGAAGAACTTTGTGATATCTGATCCTAGACTTCCAGATAACCCAATCGTATGATATATATATATATATATATATATACAACTAATTGGTTTCTTTATAAATATGATCATCTGTTCTTTTTGAATCGAAATTCCTGTTTTTAATGAAATATTATCCATATTATAAACTGCCTGTGCGAAGAACTTGATAAGTGTTGCTTCTCAAATGTTTATATTTGTTTTTCTTTCTATTTATAATTAAAAGAAGAAATTTGTCGATGAAAGAATATGAGCTTGTTTGGAATAAGAAAATGTTTTATTTTTTCATTAATAATTTCTCAATTTTGAGGTTGTTTTTGTTTGCTTATTTTCATACATTGTACAAAAAAATAGGGACAAATATGGTTGACATGTTTATACCCTTAGTTTTCTCTTTTCTTTTCCCTCTTTACTTTTCTAGATTTTTTCAATATGGTCCATTTTGGTAGTAGGTCCTTGAACTTTTTAATCATTTTTAATTATGTTCCTCTGCTAGGTTTGCATTAAGTACACGGACCTAAGTAAAAATATTTAAATAGTTCAGGGGCCCAGCCACTTGAATAATTATTCAATAAGTTCCCAAAGTGTATAAAAAAGTTTAGTAAGGCCCCTGTCCTTAAAGGAAGTATGGCCAGATACCCAATTAAAAAGGATTCAGAAGTTAAAGGACCTACTTACAAACTTTTAAAGTAAGAGACTTATTTAAGAATTCACTAATAGATCACGAACTTGCTGCTGAGAATCTGAATCAATATCTATTATTAGTGTTTATTTCATTAAAATTCCTACTTTATGAGTTCTGATTATAGGAATTATTAGTGTTAATGGATTGTTACACATTTATGAATGATTTTATTAGGATTTATTTCTAGATTAATGGTAGAATTAGAATCAATTTTCAGTTATGACTTTCTTGTATTTAAAGGTTGTTAGTATGAATAAAAATGTGAGTTTCAGCGTTTAATTTTATAGTCTCCTAAATTTCTCTTAGTTCCAACACCTACAGATTAATTATTAAACTTAAGTGAAGCTTAAAATTATGCAAGCAAAATAACTAGGATATTATCATATGTGTGTGTTAGTTTCTGCTATAGAAAGACTACTACTCATTCTCTGTAGTAGCTGTTGGAAATGGTAATATATGCAATAAGTATGTATGTATAACAAACAAAAATTTATCATGTGTGTATGGAATATGAAATTTATTTAGTGTGCTGAGAATACCTTTTAAATAATTTTGTTGCTTCCTATGCAGATATTTGCATCTGATAGCTTTCTTGAACTTACAGAGTATACACGAGAAGAAATTTTAGGACGAAACTGCCGGTAAAAATTTTACTACCTTCCTATACATTTAATTTTTCATTTTGTGCTCACTGCTCTTTTAGAACATTCCTCTGGTGGGTTTTTGTCTAGTTTTATTAGATTAGTTGTCTCCAATTATATAAGTTAGTCAATTTTTTTTCCTATCATGTAGTCCTCTATTATTTTCAAGTATTTTCTTCTATAATTTAAAACTTCTTGTTAATGTGGGTATCAACAAAATGGATGACATGATGGAACTTTATAGACCATGGAAGTGATAATGTGGAATGTACATGCTTTCCAAAATTGGGATTTGGCATTCAACTCTTTAGTATTCGATGGTTAGTTTTTGTGTAAACCCATATTTTCGTCCTTCAAAAGTATAAATAACGTTAATTTTGCCCTAGAAAATTTACTCACTGGGAAATATAGGTCCAATAAAGATTAGTTTCTTTGGGGTGTCAAAAGCAAGCATGACATCATTTTGGATATAAAGTCCCAAAGTTTGTAACTCAGAAAGAGGATGGCTTAGCTTAGATGCAATATCATAGCTTTTTTACGAGCTAACATTCATGCCATACTTTATTCTCATTTTATTTTTGGACTGTAATCTATACTTATAAAGATTTAGCACCAAAGTAATACCCTTGCCATGAATAGTATATAACATAGATTGCATGGTAAAGCCTTGTCCTATAAATGCATAAGCCAGTGAAGAACACATGTGTTGATTTACCGAGGCTGTAATGATCCTCATTTAGACCCCAATAATGCAAATTGTAGTCCCTCTATGTCATAAAATCATTCCCTAGATTAGGGCTCCATTATAGTCATTTCTCTGTCATTCAGAGGACTTTATTTCCAATAATTGATAGACAAGTGATGCAAAGAATCTTGTGAGGACCAGAGTGATGATGCTTCTTTGTACGAAGAAGAAAAATAGTAGTTTACACTTATTTTACTCTTATAGTAGCTTTCTATTATAAGATATATATATATAGTCTTAAAGTTAAGCATATGTTTTATGGTAATTTTTGAGAAAAGAGAATGAGAAACATAGGATGAATCCATGTGTTGACTACATAGTGGAACATATATTTATAATGGGATTATTGACATAGAATATACAATCACATAGTTATCGTAATTACAAAGATGTTAATTTCTCTATTTACAGTATTACTATAATTACATAATTCTAACACTCCCCCTCAAGCAGGGGCATATAAATCATATGCACCAAACTTGTTACATATATAACTAATTCAAGGACTCTTAAAGACTTGTTAGACATCTGCTAGTTGATTATGAGAATTCACAAAGCTAGTAGTAATGTCTCCCGTCCTGGGCATGTGTGTCATTTATCTTTATGCAAAAAGACTTTCCCTAGGGCTCTTGATATAGCGTCTATTTGAAAGAGCTTATTAATAACTTATAAAAAACAACTTATGACTCTCATAAGATGTTTTCAAATTATTTTACAATAAGTTTCATTGTTAAATTTAAGATATAAATCATCGTTTTATAAAGACCTTATTGACTAAGTTCTTAAATAAGCAGTTATCTAAACACACTCACAGCAAAAGAGATATGAGTGACAATGAGATATTTAATTTTTAAACAAGCCTTTTGTACTTCTCAAGCTCTTCACGAGGCTCCCTCAATCATAGTAGGAGTTTGATATTAGCGTCTGTAAAAGTATCAATGGATTTGACACTCATCAGCCATGCCTCTTCTAGGATGTCCATGGTATTCTTCCTTTGAGAAATTTCATCCAAGAAGTATTTAAGTCTACCAAGATCCTTTCTTTGAAGTGATGATAGAGATGTTGTTTCACCTGTGAAATCCCACAGTGTTTACTACCTATGATGACAATGTTGTTAAAAAGACAATAAGTAAATGCATTTATAAGATAGAGTAATCAACTTCACTCTGAGTTATACCATTTTTGTTGAATCACAATACTAAACCTTCCAGGGGATTGCTTAAGACTATATGGAGACTTTCACAACCGACAAACAAGTCTTGAAGACTCTCCCTAGCAACGAAATCACGAGGTTTCTCCATATAGACTTCTTCCAAATGTTCCCCATGTAAGAAGACATTCTTGATATTCAATTGATAAAGATGCTAATCATGAATGGCTACCATAGATAAGAACAAGTGAATAGAGGGTGTCCAGGCTATAAGAGAATATGTCACCATAATCCAGACCAAGGTTTAACCTTTGGCTCTGAGCAGGCCTTTAGTCTATCTACTTTGTCATCAAGACCAACTTTAATAGTGTAAACCTATTGGCAATCAACAACATATTTTTTGGAAGGGAGAGAAAAAAGATCTCAAGTACCACTATGTTGGAGCGCACTCATTTCATCAATCATGGCTTGTCTCTAGCCAAAATAAGCAAATGCATCACCAATAGACTTAGGAAGGGAAACAGAGGACAAAGAAGTGAGACAAGTGTAATGAGAAAGAGATAAATGATGATAACTGATATCAATGTAATGAGTAGAAAGATTACAAGTAGAATGTATACCTTTACAAATCACAATAGAAAGGTCTCACTCAAGAAGTGAGGCTAAAGAGGGTGGATGATGTAGCACTGGAGGTGAGTAAGTAGAGTCAGTAGCAAGTTGGTTATGTGTTGATGGTGGGCATTGATAGATCTACAACGGGAGGGTTGGAAGTTAAGCAGATGGTGTCGAAGACTCCTTGAGAAGAGAAAAAAGATGAATAGAGACTGGGAAGGAAATATTTGAGGACTTAGAAGAAGATACGGAATTTTAAAACACAAACAAGAAGTAAATCTAAAAGGATATTGTATAACAATAAAGATCAGGATAGTAACACTTGTACCTTTTTGAAACCAAGTATAACTAAGAAAGACACATTTGTAGGAATGTGAAAAGAGTTTATCTGATCCAAGACTTACAATGTGAACAAAACAGGTGAACCCAAAGACCTGAGGAGGTAGAGGATGGAGAGGTTGATGTGGGTATTAGACCTGTTGTGGTATTTCCCTATCTAAAATGGATGAAGGCATCCGATTGATGAGATAACAGGCTATAAGGATGACATCACTCTAGAAATAATGAGGAACATAAGCATGAAGCAAGAGGGTATGAGCAGTCTCAGGAAGATGTTTGTTTTTACGTCAACAACCCCATTTTGCTAAGGAGTTTAAGGATAAGACATTTGATGAATAATCTCATGTGAGGTCATGAAACTATGAAAGGAAGAACACAATTATTATTTGGCATTATCACACTGTACAATACAAATAGGAATGCCAATTTGAGTTTTTGTTCCATTTAAAAAGACTGAAAAATAGAAAACAACTCATAATGGTCTTTCATTAAAAAAAGTCAAGTGCATCAACAAAAATCATCAATAAAAGTAACAAAGTATTTTGATCCTAAACTAGAAATGACACAACCCTAGACATCTGAATGAACTAAAACAAAAGGTGACTAAGACCAACTAATGACACGACTAGGAAATGAACTGTGAACATGTTTACCTAATTAACCAGACTCGTAATTTCAAGAAGACAACTTAGAGAGACCCAACACTAATAGTTTCAAGTTCGCAAGATTAGGATGGCCCAGTTGAGCATAAACCATGAGTGCAGTCCAACGCTGAACCAATATGAGAGGATTGCCAAAGCTAGTATAGACTCAGAGATTCACATCTGAAACCAATCATCCTCCCCGATCCTACAAAGTAACAAAATCTTTGGTAAACAAAACGCAATTAAGGAAATAAGTATGACATTGGATGGAGAGTAGATTAGAAGGGGACCTAAGAACATAAAAGACATTTTCAATAGAAACAGATGGAAGAATGGATATAGTGCCAATACCACTAGGTCCTATTTGGGAACCATTAGCCATAGTGAGAGGGCAAAGAATTAGATAAATAAAGCATAGAGAGAAGAGATTTATTGCAGCTAATGTGATCGATGACCCCAAAATCAAGAACTCAAGGACCGAGAGAAGGAGAATAAGAGATGCTAACAAAGGAATTACTGATTTGCACAGCCGACTTAGTTGAACCGGAAGACTGATGGGTTTCACCCTACTTTTGAAAGTCATCATAGAAGAAAGATAGTGCGCCTGAAGAACAGGTAGTAGGGCAGCAGGGTCGGTAGAAGCCATGGGCAGCATGGAGGAGAGAGAAAGACTGTGAATAGCCTGACATGTCAAGGAGAGAAGACATTGGAAACTGACCCGAAACCATGAACAAAGCAGTTTCTGAAAAAAAAAAAAATTACACCAATGGACAGTGAGCCCATAAGGAATGCATGGATTAGGATTGCCCTCTCATTCTAGATACCATGTTGAGAAAAAGGGAAACCAGAAGACATAGGATGATTCTGCATATTTGAATACACATCAGAGCTATCTATTTATAATAATGCATAATAATTACATGATATTCTGTTATCTAAAGTTATGCTAATTACATAGTTTACATATATACTCAACAGTTACGATATCACTTCCTGCTTTTGATATGTTTATATTGGCATCTACTTAACACATGCTGATGTTTGCAAGGCTAGTGACATCTTAGTTCACTTTAACCATTGTATAGGTTTCTTCAAGGACCAGAAACAGATCAGGCAACTGTTTCCAAGATTCGGGATGCCATCAGAGAACAGAAGGAAATTACAGTTCAATTGATCAACTATACTAAGAGTGGTAAATAATTGTTCAAATTAAATCTACATAATTAACTCTCTCTGTTTCCTTTCATAACAAGAGGACTCATCCTCCCTCCTAGTTGTATTTTTGTATTTTTCTCTGTCAATTAAAAAATTTCTTTTATTGCAAATATTGGTTTTGCAAATGAAGATTTTGTTATGTTTTTGTTTTCATTTTCTGAATCAGGTATCCTTTTGTTTTTTTATGTTATTTATGTGCTGGACTCTTCTTATTTATGATACAGGAAAGAAGTTCTGGAATTTGTTTCACTTGCAACCAATGCGTGACCAAAAGGTGAGGTGACTGTGATGTTCTTTTGCTAGAAACCAGTTAATTTGGATCATGAAAGTCAATATCTATTAAACAATCCATTGTCTTCTCCACTTTTTAGTTTCTTATGTTACTTTCAATGATTTTTGGTTAGGGTGAACTTCAATACTTTATTGGTGTTCAACTAGATGGAAGTGATCATGTAGAACCCTTAAAAAACCGTCTATCTGAGACAGCTGAGAAACAAAGTGCCAAGTTGGTGAGTGTTATTGTTTCAGTTTTCTTAGCTATTTTACTTTCTAGTCCAAGATATTTGATGCTTTCTTTGTATATTTTACTTTGTGATATATCCTTTGCTCATATTATTTCAGGGTAAAACTAAGACAACGTGAATTTTGTATGCTAGTAACTTGAGTTACTGGGCACTTTCGTTATTAAGATTTTCTGCTGAATAGTTTGAAAACATATTTAGCATAATCATTACAACAACAACCAATCCTTATGTCTAAAAATGTGTTTCGGATTATTTGTTAGAAGAGTAATTTCTCTTAGAATACAACAAGTTTAATAAAGGAAATGTCGAAACTACTGCATATACAATTAATTCCTAAAATTAAGAGATTCTCATACAATAAATACAAATCAGACAGCTAAAGCTGTCTCCTAATTATAGTATTTGATTATGTATATACAAGGAAATATTCTATTTATGTCAATCTTTATAGATTCTAACACTCCTCCTCAAGTTGGTGAGTGGATATTATCCATTCCCAAGTTGCCAACAATCAACCGAAAAATAGCACTACCCAATCCTTTTGTTAGTCCATCTGCAAGTTGGTTTATGGAGGATACAAATGGTGTACAAATTGTCCCATTATCTAGCTTCTCCTCTATGAAGTGTATGTCTACTTCAACATGCTTGATTATATCATGTTTCAGTAGATCATGTACGATGTTTATTGCTGACTTGTTATCGCTGTACAGTCTTATAGGTTTGTTCCACTCAACATTCAGATCTTCTAGAATGATTCTTATCCATAGTAGTTCACAAATCCCCAATACCATTGCTCTAAACTCTGCCTCTTCACTTGACCTTACAACAACGTTTTGTTTCTTGCTCCTCCATGTTACCAGATTGCCTCCAATAAAAGTGCAATATCTGGAGGTAGACCTTCTGTCATCTATAGATCCAGCGTAGTCAGCATTTATGTATGCTTCAATAGTAATCTCCTTCCCTCTTGTTAATAGAATTCCTTTTCCGGGAGTTCCTTTAAGTATTGCAAAATGAGATAAACCGCTCTAAGCTAAGTTTCTTTAAGATTAATTGTTCATGAACTGACTTACCACCCGTACTATGTACGCAATATCAGGTCTGGTATGGAACAAGTAGATCAATTTCCCAGCCAGTCTTTGATAAGATTGTCTATCTATTATTGCATCTCCAACTGATTCACTTAATTTGTGATTCTTCTCAATAGGTGTCTCTACTGGTTTGCACCCCTATTTTCCTGTTTCAGCCAATAAATCCAGCGCATACTTTTGTTGGGAGATGAAAATACCATGATGAGAATGAGCCACCTTAATGCCTAGAAAATACTTCAATCTTCCTAACTCCTTAATCTCAAATTCTTTTAACAGGCATTTCTTTAATGCCTCCTTTTTTGCTTCATCATTTTCTTTTACAACTATATCATCTACATAAACAATCAGTGCAATAACTCCCCTTGAAGAAGAATGTTTAATGAACAATGTATCACCTTGGCTTTGCTTGTACCCCATTGCCTTCATCAAAGTAGTAAACCTACCAAACCAGGTCTTGGGGACTGTTTCAGCCCATAAAGTGCCTTCTTCAGCCTACACACTTTTCCTTCCTCAGCTTTAAAACCAAGTGGGACTACCATATAGATTTCTTCTTCAATTTTTCCATGCAAAAAAACATTCTTGATATCGAATAGTTGCAAGCTTTATCCACAGTTAGCAGCTAGAGACAACAAAATTCTAAGAGTCTTCATTTTTGCAACAGGTGAAAAAGTTTCAAGATAATGTACCTCTTATGTTTGAGTGTATTCCTTAGCCACTAACCTTGCCTTATATCTTTGTAATGTCCCATCTGCCTTGTATTTAACAGTAAAAACCCACTTACATCTAACAAGCTTTTTTCCAACTCCCAAGTTTTGTTCTTTTCTAGTGCATAAATTTCAACCTTCATAGCATCACCCTCCATTTCTTAGTGTTTAATGCTTTCATCAACAGATTTTGGAATAGTGACAGTGTTTAAATGAGTAAGGAAGCTTCTATCATTATTGGACAATTTATCATAGGACAGAAAGCAGGCTAGTGGATACCTTGGTCTTTGGGTACATGCTCTACTACCTTTCCTTACTACAATTGGAAGATCACCATTTTCAGTGGTCCCATTTTCAATGGGCATATTCTGCTCTTCTGACACCACATCATTAGCTTCAGGTATTTCAGGAATAGGTTCAGAATCTGGGATTTGTCGTGGTTGGATAACAGCCTTTGTCCTTCTTAAGTCCATACAAGGATTTTCGTAGATGACAGACTAATCTGGAAGACTCCCCCTGAGCAACAAATTCAAGAGGTTGCTTCATATATACTTCTTCCCTGAGCAACCAAGGCAAAACTTTCATTTGGCTGAGAGTCCAGCATCACTCATCTCTACGAGCATCTTCTGCCCAAAAGATAGCCATCATTTCATTCTGCTTATTGATTCTATCCTTCTGCTTATAGCTTTTGAGAATATCATAATCTTTAGTGACTACCCTAGCCCTTATAAGGAGTATTCTGGCTTTATTCCTAACCAATGTAAGACATCTTAACACACCTCCCTTACTTCCAGGACTGCACATCTGGTGCATGAAATTTGCAGGACTAGATATCTACACGGGTGGCCCAACAGAACTAGACATCTGTGGGTAGCCCAACATTCAATCTAAATAGGCTCTAATACCATGTTAAGAAACTTGGACCTAACTCACTCCCAAAAGCTAGCTCATAGGAGGAGGACTACCCTATCCCTTATAAGACGTATTCTAGCTACATTCCTAACCAATGTCGAATATCTTAACACAACCCCCTCATGCTCAGGACTGAACATCTAGTGTGTGAAATTTGCAGGACTGGACATCTGAGAGTGAGTTAGTCCCAAGTTTCTTAACATGGTCTAACCCTTGCCACAAATTTTGTAGGGTCTAGGCATACTCGTTGACTGAACTATCTCCTTGTTTTGTAGCAAAAATTCTCATCTTAATCTCATATATTTGGGCAGTGTCACCGCCTTGGAATAGTTTGCTTTACAACTGTCCCATACTTCCTTGGCTGTCTTTCATAGAGTTCCATGACCAAGACATTATAACTGCATCTGCCTCATGCTACAAATTTGGGATCTGATGATTCTGGGCCTTTGTCAGTAAGATGGCTCAATTTTCCCTTCCCCCTTAGAAAGGTTTGGACAAAATGAGACCATTTTAGGTAGTTCTGCAGCTCAACAGCAGCCAAATTTTCAGATTGGGCAGTGGCTTTGTGTTCGATGGACATCTAAGGATTTCATGGTTTTTTTTTTTTTTTATTGAGCTGTGAAAAAAATATGGCAATACAGGATGAGAAGGTACACAGAAGAATGAAGGAAAGTTGCAGTGATTCAGGCCATGAGATTACACAGGCCCCCAAGGATTTTGGAGTGCTGATACCACGTTAGAAAATGTGTTTTTAATGATTTGATTAGAAGAGAAATTTTTCTTAAATAGAATACAAAAAGTTTAATAAAGGAAATCTCTAAACTATTGCACATGCAGTTAATTCCTAAAATTAAGGGATTCTTGTACAAAAAATACAAAATCAGATAGCTAATGCTGTCTCCTAATTATAGTATTTAATTCTGTCTATACAAGGAATTATTCTATTTAGGTCAATCTTTAGAGACTCTTAACACCATATCCCACTAGGATTTAGCATAATCATTATTAAACAGAAATTTATTTGTCAATTATTATACATTGTCTTTTCTCTCCCATCATACTATCTATTCCTCGTTTTACTGTAAAAGTTGTTAGAAATGCCTGCTTATTAGTTGAGTTTTATTTTGCAGCACCAGAGTAGAAATCACCTAGAAATTAATATAGAGCAAATGCCTGCTTTAAGTTGGTTGTTCAAATTCTGTTTATTTTCATTTCTATCAAATTTAATTACTGCTTTGTATATTCATCTTCATCCATTTATATGCCAAGGATTTTTGCAAAATGTTAGTTCTAATACATTTGCTTTGTTAGACTGGTAGCAGGGAAGACATAAGAAAATATGAACTTGTTTTATTTGTACGATAAACTGAAGATAGCAGGAAAATATGAGTGAATGATGCTACAATAGTTATTATATTAGTATGTATTTCTGATTTCAGAGTTAACCTTGTTTACCATGAGATTTATCTTAGTCTTGGTATACAATTGAGATCCTTTTGTCAATTTCTGTACTTTACTTCAATATCTTCATTTGTCTCTTTTATCAGGTGAAAGCCACTGCAGAAAATGTTGATGAAGCAGTCCGAGAACTTCCTGATGCCAACTTGGTACGGTATTCCTTTTAGGTTAGCATGTGAGTTTGTAACCTACAGGTGTTTCAAATTTATGTAAAAGAAATTGGTGTCACTTTTTTCTTTTTGGGATAAGAAATTTAGATTAGACGACAAGACTGCTATTGATGGATACAATATGAAAAACATCATTAGTATAATGTACAAATACAGGCCCATACAAATGCCATTGTTTGTGTACCATGAATATAATATATATATATATATATATACACACACACACACACACACACACACACATATACATATAGTAATCATATTCTATTCAAAAAGCTCACTCCTCTTTTGAATAGAATCCATTTTTTTTATATTTCAATATTTGTTTATCTAAGTAGGATTATGAGGTTTCTACTAGTATAAGTAGGGCTTAGCTATTGCCTTTTGCATCACATCTTTCACATTAACTTGATATCGATGTCATATTTGTCAGTATCTATTGTCTCTTTCCTTCTTTTTCTACCTAAATCCCCTATAATTTTAAGACAGTATTAGAGCAATACCATCCTCTCTGCTTGCCCTGTCACAGTTCTGCTTTTGAGTTTCATAAAATCTATAGAACTCTATTGTAACAAAGTCACTATCTTCATGATTGTTTTCTGGCCATAACAAATTCTGGTCATCCTTTCTCTTTGTTTCATCTTGTCACTGAGCTTTTCTGCCTGCCATCATCATTTTCTCTAGAATCCTTGGATTGTTTCTTCACTTTTTTGTCTTTCTGGAAGCCTCTGTTGTTCCATCTTTTACTTCATATATTTTGATTGGACTTCTTGGAAGACACCCTGCACTGAAAACCATAAAGAGGTTTTGAAAATAACTTTTTTGCAAAGCAAATTTATGGACAACACTTTGTGCTCCTTTCTTGAAAGAAGTCTTAGAACTTAATTAAATGAAAAGGCTCTATCCCTGCTAGCATACTTAAGATTCACCTAAAACCCCAAACAGAATACTCTGAGGTGATCTGATATATAGACAATCCTGGAACAAGCATCTTATCCAACCCTTGATCCAACATCCAACTTGCAATGTTGTTGCTTACTAGTATACTTATTCTTAAGAGCAAGTGGGAGTATGATAGAACTAGAAATAGCGAAAGAAATAGAGAAAATATCAAAAGAGACAAAATGATTATTCTTTATCACAGTTCAGGGTACTCAAGAGACCTTGTTCTCTCCTAATGCCTAAAGGCCCTAGTCCTTTATCAAATGACAAGATATCCCTCTCCTAACCTCCCATCTTGTTGTTCACCAAAATCAAAAACCGCCCATCTTATTTATTGGCAACATGCCTCATTCAAAACATCTCTGCTAACAAACTAATAGGTAACTAAATAATCTATTGTAACTAACTACTTATGGCAATTACCTAACAGAGGAAAATTAGTAGCACCCTACAAATGTATATATTTTTCAGATTTACCTTCAATGCATTATTTTATATTTACCATAGTTGCATCATTCAAAGAAGAGAGAAATTGTGCGTTCTTTTGCACTTATATTTGATGATATCATATGAATCTCTTAAATTGTAGAGACCAGAAGATTTGTGGGCAATTCATTCACACCCTGTCTTTCCACGACCTCACAAAAAGGACAATCCTTCTTGGTTAGCAATACAGAAGGTACCAATTTATGTATTTGACTTCCTTTTTCATTATTTTTATATAAATAAATTATTTAATGTAAATTTTACATATGAGAACAGCTGTATGGTGTAAATTAAAAATATACTTTATTCACAATACATAATTACCTCCTTTAAAATAAGTCTTGTTCTTCAGGGATACATAGGGGTTTCTTGCATGCTTACTATGGGGTTCCTTTAAGTGGTAGCTACTTCATTTGGGACTTTTTCAACCATATGATCTCTAAATGCTAATTCAATGATTCGCCCCCTTCTTTCCATGGTCTAATTACCCCTTTTTGTGGATTGTTTATCATTCTATCTCTTACTTTTTGGATTCTGGTGGGAGTTTCTCAAAGGATTGAGAAAATTAAGAGGGACTTTGGTTTGGTCTGTAAGATCAAAGTGACATCCTTATGTTTGCTGAGAGGGAGGTTTTACACAGGCCTATGATGGGTATCGATCTGTTCATGAGAAAAATACTAACAGCTGAAGCATGGCTATTTTTAACTAAGAAGTCTGACGTATCATAACATATTGCAAGACAAAAGAATAGAAATGAGTAGAAAATATTCTTTAGCATTATCAATTTTCAAGACAATGTGCCTAATTTGTGTTTTAAGCTAAACAAGAAAAGACAAAGTAGGATCTTCATAACTGTCTCCAGTATTATACTTGCTAACCAATAGAAGATGACCCTACACTTCATCCATTCAAGGAGGTAGGAAGCTCATGTGCTAATAAGATTGTGATAGCAAACCATGATAAAAGTAGTTAGTAAAAGATTGTATATAAAAAGAAATATGACAGGATAGAAGGGACAAGGAGGATAAACAGTGTAACATCTTTGTCTGTCTCTTGGTCACCTTGATCAGGGAACATTCTTGTGAATAAATACAATCTATGGTCTGTTTTTCTATCTGTATGAACCGGTTCTAACAGATTGTGTACAGGGGTATGAGGATGTTCACGGTCAATCCTACTAGAAAAACATTGCAAAACTAGAGGCTTTTTGTATTCTTGTCAGGAGAGATTAATTTTTGCATTATTCATTTTTGCTTGTTGCATCATCCTTTTTTTGTCACTTCTTGAATAAAATTTTTGGAAGTGCGTTTAATACAATTTGAAAGTTATTTAAATTTTAGGAAGTTATAAAATTACTTCCAGCAATTAAATTTTGCAAGTGATTTGAAAATGATTTCTAAAATTTAATATCTAGATGAAATCAAATTACTTTCAAAACTTAAATTCTTTTATACCTTATGAAAATTAAAATTCAGAAGTCATTTGCAAACCACTCCAATTAGTTTTTGGAATATATAAAATATACTTCCAAATGTTAAATTCCTAAAGTGACAAAAAAAGATGGTGCGGATAATTAAAAGCTAGAATGAAATAAAAATGGGTGATGGGAATGTGAAAATTGCCTAAATTATATGCAAATGGTATGGCATTCTACATATGCATCAGTTTGGTTTTGAAAAATGTTTTTATGTTTTATTCGTTAATTTAGTTTTTTTGACTTTTTCAGATAACTGGAAGAGGTGAAAAAATTGGTCTGCACCATTTTTTGCCCATTAGGCCCTTGGGTTGTGGAGATACTGGCAGGTAACTATTGAGTTTGTCACTTTAGTGATCAGTTTATGTTGTCAGTTTCAGTAACAATGACATTTGAATATTTCTGAAAATCTTGCTTGACTAAAGAGCGTTCCTAAATTGGATTCTGATTTTATATGCCACAATGCTATTTGGTACAAAATTTGGTATGAATATCTCATATCCAATCATGGTCAGAGAGAGAAAAATGTAAGGCTTGAAAAGTAACTGATTAAAATGCAACAAACTTTTCTCATTTTGCTTTATTCATAAGCCATTTCATGACAAAATCTTTGCTCCATTTAACATTGTTCTTATTTAAAACACCATCATAAGGACTTCTTCTTTCTAGAGATTGTTCTTGGTTTCATATGACCCTTTCTCATTCTGCACCTTTAACATAACCCCCTGACCCATATTAATCAACATTTGATAATATACTTTACAGAAGGATGCTCTGCTTGTGGTCTTAAGGCTTAAAATTTTAACTTTCCCAGATGAAAGATGGTCTGTTTTTTTATCAAGGTGTCATTTTGTTTTCTGCTACAGTGTTCATTTGGTGGAACTCCAAAGTACTGGGGAATTATATGCAATGAAGGCAATGGAAAAGTCTGTAATGCTAAATCGTAATAAGGTCTGGATATGTAGGAGTCACTAGTTTTCTTCTTCATAGGTTTTTTGCACGCTTCCCATTAACTACTGAAATTAAGCTGATTGATATATTCTCTGGAAATATGTGGTTTTGCTCTCTTGTATTCATTTTTTCTCATAGCTATTCATCTGTGCCAATTAAGATCATTATAATTCGTAAATATTTATGAGCAGGTAATCTCTATTAGAAAATCAGGCATAAATTATGAACCATGCCATTTCTATGAATATATTATGCATTTGTTTTATATTATTACACTAGTGCTTGACCTAATTCTTATTTAGATAGCGTGCTTCTTTATATCCTCAACACTCTATCTAATAACCTATTATTTAGTCTCCATTCACTGTTTTTCCTATAATTTCTGCTATATAACTCTTTCATGATATAGAAAGATAATATGTAACAATAGGGTTTATTTGTTAGTTGAAATACAAATGATGAAATTGGCTTAAGTGTGTATCAAGATGCTAAGTGTATTGAAAGGAGAACCACAAATGCAGAGGCTAATATATCCTCCTGTGCCAAAGGAAACATGGACACAGTAACATAAAAATGATCAAACTTTATGGAAGGCTGAGAAGCAAGGGCATAATAATGGATGTTGAGAGATAAGCCAAAGATGTTCACAACATATGGCTCTAATGTCATCTTGGTTGTCAACATAAAAGAAATACAGAAAAAAACTATGCCTCAGCATTTTTATTATAAGACGTATTAATTTATTAATTTGTGCTTCTGTTGAATTTGGTCGCAAGGTAACTCCTGTTTTTTGGTTGTGCCAGAGAGAAAAGGTTAATTTATCTAACTCATTTATCAGAAATATATTTCTGTGATTAAAATTACAGGTTCACCGAGCATGCATTGAGAGAGAGATTATATCATTACTGGATCATCCTTTTCTTCCAACACTATACACATCATTTCAGGTAAATATAACACACCTTTATCTGTATGTCAGACTCAGACAGGACTGAAGTGTTAAGTTGGAGTGAGATATTGCTCTAGCAAACAACCTTGAATCCTTTAAGTGGTAAATCTTGGGTCCAAAGAAATGAGGAAGCATCTTTGTAATGATATAATGATGAAAAGAATTGTATCATCTTTTAACTGTACTAGGCCCTTTATTAATAATTGTAACAACTTGATTAACAAGTTCTAGAATACTCTCTCCAGTTTAGTATTTTATTAGGACTATATTTCTTCCAAAGGTACCTTGATTTAACCAAACTAGTGGAATTACTACAAAATTTGTTAAGCAGAACCACTGTTTAGAAAAGTCTTACAGGAGTAGTTTCATGTAGTGTACAAAGGTCGAAGTGCATACTGTTCTAGGGGTCAGTATTTCCTCTAATCTTATTAACATGATATCAGATTAGGACTGGCCAACCTTGATACCATGGATAGAGTGCATCAAGGGAAAGTTGTTAGCCCGCTGTTTGTTTTCTTCTGTGGGATGGGATGTGAAGGGATGTTAGTTGGAGGTCCAAGCTCGTGGAGGGAGAAAGTGGCCTAGTGGAGGATTAACCTCCTGCATCAACTTGACACCCAAATCTTAAAGACTTTGGTCTGTGCCAATTGAGTTGGCTGTTAGCCAGTTGTTCTAATATTTTGTTTGTCTTGACAGACTTCTACACATGTATGTTTGATTACTGACTTCTGCCCTGGGGGAGAGTTGTTTGCATTGCTTGACAAGCAACCCATGAAGATTTTCAAAGAGGAATCAGCAAGGTATTTTTGGTTACTCATTTTTCTCAGCCAACTGGTATATGCTGTATGATTACTTGATGATTTCTATATTGATGATGTAGATGATTCCTTTATGCAATATTATGACAGATGATCAGTAAGATATTAATGAACACATCATTTAGTTGGTTGTACTAAAATCTATCACTTTTCCTTAACAAATTGATGTCTTGTAGATGATTCTATTTGTAGAGAGTAGAAGAGGGAGAGAGAGAGATGCAACAACCATGTGTTTCAATTGAATACAGGGAGAGGAAACAATATTAATGATAAAATAAGAGGCTATAATCAACAAGGCTATGTGGGCTTTTTCACAGTAACTAAATCAAAGTGAATGAGCACAACTTATAGTAACTTAATCTTATCATGAGTATGTTTCTAACAGCTACAATCTCACACCAGCTTGGTATATGACCAAGATATTCCATACAAACTTGGACAATGAATCCTTTCTGCTTCTTCTGAGATTGAGTTGGGAATAATTTGTTATTAATTCTACTGTAGTATTGGAGCCTATATAACGAAGTGGCTAACAAAATTCATAGCCAGTAAAATAAAAAACCAGCTTGTATATCGTAAGTTATGTTTATACAGAGAAATAAAAACCGGTGGAGGAAAGGCACAGCCCAATAACACATAATAAGCTAACAACTCAATTACACATGGGTTTGACTACTCACTACATACATGAAAGCCTACTCTAACCTATCCTAATAAAATAAATATATCTATCTATACATTTATAGTAACAGTTATATTTTATGTTAACTTTATCAATCACATATCCAGATTCTATGCGGCAGAGGTTGTCATTGGTTTGGAATATCTGCACTGTTTAGGTACGCTGCTCATTATATCTTTATTTGATTGTTCACACTACACTCTTAGGAAGTTTGTATTTATTCAATATATCCTTAATCTGTGTAGTTCATGGGTTTAGTTCATATTATTTTATATGGTATCTTGGTGTTCATTGTTCAATTGGAGCATCCTTTTGTGTGGTGTTGATAAGAATATTGGGAGAACAACACCTGTCAGAGACCAAATCAAAAGATATGAACTGTATTATTAATGAAGAAGAAAATACTGCAGAATCAATTTTGCAAAACCCAGAGCAAAGCTCCTACAAAGGTTGACACCCTTGCCCCCTGCTAATAGGAAAAAAGCATAACTGACTCATTCTCTCTCTTCCCCCCACTATATGAAACATTACACGGTAATCTGCTCGCTATAACTAACTTCTCTCTCTAATTCCTATTCTGCCCCTTCTTATTTCTCCTACTATACATTTTCCAAATCCTTGGCCGGTGACTGAGTTGGACTGGACTTGTCCACTTAGGTTCATGGGACCTCACATTGCCACCACCATCAAGGGGGAGAATGGCACCAGCGCTGAGACAAATGGTTGTGTGGATGGCGTACATGCACCACTGAACAGGATGACAGTTGAACAAGCGTGACAGTGTGTGGAGAAGCAGGAAACAACGACGATCAGTGGGAGAGTCAATCGGGGACTTTTAGGACTAGTGCCAAAGTCTCAAACCAAATGGTGGCAAGACATTGGGACAACTAGGGTTGATGACTTTGAAACTTGTGTTGAGTTTTATTAGGACCATGGAATGTGAGTCAGGTCCAGTTTTCTAACATGGTATCTGAGTTTATTGAAGATCCGATATTGGACCACCCTTGATTGAAAAAACAGATTATGGCCCCACGAATTTTTTCAGTGCAATTAACCTGGCCCCATGGATTTCCCAATGCAACTTACCTGGTCCTATGGCTTTCCCAGTGCTACCAACCCAGTCTTGTGGCTTATCCAGTGCTTTATTAAAAATATATATGACTAAATAAGAACCTATAAAGGCTAAAACAATCCTCACCTTATAAGCTATCTTTTGGGGTTGACTTAGGCTTAAAGCCCAAATTCAACAATGTCAGTCATTTTTTTTATTCTTGTTCATGGCCACCATGCATTCTTGGCCTTTGTTTCAACTTGATATAAAAAATTTTCTTTCTTCATAGTGATTTTCATGAAAAGTTATATTTGGAGCAACCTTAGGATTTTGTTGCTCATGGGGAGTCTAATTTGGTTTGCAAACTCCACTGCTTTCTTTATGGCCTAAAACATTTTATGTACTTGTATAGTTTACTAGGTGTGTTAATGAATATGTTCCGGTTAAAGGGATACACTAGTCTTCTACAGTCTCTCCTCTTGTCCTCTGACATGACGTCTACACTAGTTTTCTTTTTCTATGGTGATGACTGAAGTGTCTTGTCTAGTACAGAATACAAAAAATATTTTTCACTCTCTTTTATTTTCTCTACCAGGTGGTGTGCATGATAATTCCTTAACCGGTAGTGGATCAGTGGATGGTACTTTGGTAGATGATGATTAGCAAAGTGACAAGGGCCAGGGAGGGAATAACGAAATTTATAAAATCAAACAGAAAAATAAAGTGAAACAACTCATTTTGACAATTTCTAATGAAAAAAGACAACTTTGGCATAACAATGGATTCTAAATTTTTTACTTTAGGAGGGTGCCATAATTTTTTATAAATAAAATATAATAATATTTTCATTTAAACATGGGGAGACGCATAGCATATGTGTGCCACCCTTTCCCTCTACCTTTGTTTGCTACTCCATTTTATTAGGGTGTGTGAGGACACATTTTCCATGAAAAGTGATGTTTCAATTGTTAAAAGAGATTGAAACTGAAAATTGTTAATTAATGCTGCTAGTGATTATTCTACCTCCACATAATTTGTAAGACTTTCTAATAATACATACAATATTTGGGGTATCAATGAAGTAAGGTGCTTGAAAATTGTGCTCTTATTGCTGAAGTATGATGCATTTAGCTTGATCATAATTGGTGATGCATTGGGAATAGGATTGTTATTTTTTCTAACATTTTGGTTAAATTACACTCATATCCCCTAAGATTTAACAAGAAGAGTATGCAGTGTTATTTTGTTATATAAATTAAGAAAAGTTTAAGATCCAAAAAGAAAGGGTTGAGTGTAATTTTATTAAACCTCAAGGTGTGTGTGTGTGTATTTTCTCCCATACTTTTTTAGTATTTTAGTGGTGTTGAAGGTTTTCTTCTTTAGCTAATTTTGTTTAATTGTGACATTCCTTACCATTTTACATATTATGATATGCTACACTGACATTGTATGTGATTATTTAGGCAGCAACTTTGTCCTGAAAGAATTAGTTATTATGCACAACAAAGAGAAGAAAAATATCAATACAGATTGCTAAGTTATATGAATATTGTTTTCTTGTATTGAATCTGTGTAGGTATAATTTATCGTGACCTAAAGCCTGAAAATATCTTACTACAGAAGGATGGTCATGTTGTATTAACTGATTTTGATCTATCATTTATGACACCTTGTAAACCACAGGTATGTATCATTATTCCTCTATAAACATGTTCCATTTATAGAAATTGTTGAAAATTCTTGACCCATATTTAATTCATTGGCATCACACCCCCTTTTTTTTTTATTATTCATTTCCCCACTTACAATCACAAGGGATCATCAAACTCAACTTCTCTTTCTCATTACCGCTTGAGATAAGTCTCATGCTATTTTGGGTTTGTTACATGCTCTTCTTTTGCCCATATCATTGTTGATTTTTGCATGAAATTCCATAATGCAAATATTTTTGTTTCGAATCTCTGTTTAAGCAGTTTAGTTAGTAATATCACTTTTCTTAACTCTAACTACCTGAAAAATTCCCATGTATGTTCTCCGTAGCTAGGGAAATTAATCTATTCCTTTTTCTATATACATTTTTAGTTATCTGGCTAGCATCTTAAAATCAGTAAAGCAACTGATGTTCTAGGGTTGTCTTTCTACTTCATAATTGTCAGATGCATAAATTTGAAGATATTCCTGCAGGTTGTGAAATACTCACTTCCTAGAAATAGAAGATCACGAAATAGACCACCACCAACATTTGTTGCAGAGCCAGTTACACAATCAAACTCATTTGTTGGAACTGAAGAATACATTGCCCCTGTATGGTGAATTTCAATTCTGCTTCATACTGTTTAAGTAAACGAAAAAGATATCCCTTAAGGTTTAATGTATAAATCCCTCTTGTTTCTAAAGTTACATTAACATTGCCTTATTTTGAATTAAAAATAAGTTTGTCATGTTAAAATTGAGGATGTTAAATGAAAGAAAAGAAATAGAGTATCTTAGCTGATCCTTTAGAAATAATGGATTTTATATTTCATGAATGTTTTCCTATTTCTGTTCAGATTAGAAGTTTTCTATTATCATAAACAGAGCTATGTGCTTTGTCTTTTGTATCACGTAAGACACATCATTTTACACAAGATCATATTATTTAAAGTTGTTATTCTTTCTTTTCCTCCCTCTCTACCAATTTCTCTCTATTTTCAAACAAGGATAAAATTTTCCACTAATGTAGCTATGCAATTAGGGTATAGAGTGTCTGGGTTCTTGTTTACACAAAAGTCAACAAAACCATGTAGTTGGACTTCCATGTTTTCATGCCCGGGAATGTAAGCGATAATGTGTTTGAGATGTTGTAGTAAAGAGAAAATAGAGGAGATCTCTGTAACTCTGGAAACAAGTGAGATTTCATCAAACTTGAGGGTAACTAATGTAATCTACTCAAACATAATAAGCACAACAAAGTTATTTTATTATATATGTGTTGTTATCGTTATCGTTATCATCTTTCAAGGTTATAAAGGTACTTGATATCAGGAAATTATAATCGGAGCCGGGCATACGAGTGCTATAGATTGGTGGACCCTTGGTAAGCACTTCAATCCTTGTGTTTGAATACGAATTAACAGAGCATGATTTTGGTTTTTCCTATTATATATAACTAAATGAATTTTTGTACTGTATTTTCTAGTTATATTTTTCAACTTCAAGTCCTATGTCTAGTGTAAGGGGATTAATAGCTTCCAATACAATTGTGATCTTCCTTTCTCCAGCCCTCAGTATATATAGATGTAGTGATGTACCACGGCTGCTTTACTTATCAAGAGGGCTTCATTTGCGATTGCTTAGGAGACCTATTTTTCTCATGGCTGAGAGAAACAATCTGGAATTTAACAGCAGGGATAGGGGAAGCCCAAGCAGTTTGTTTATATAGCAAATGACTATTCTTACATTCAGTCACTCTATTTTGTTGAGGAGTACTTGACGACTGATGGGTGTCTGGATGGTACCCTGTTGTGAAAGAAAAGTTGAAAATGGGAGAACAGATATACTCTTTGGTACTGTTGTGCAATATATGAAAAGGACATCCAAGTTGTGTTCTAACCTCAAAGAAAATGGATGAAAATTTTTTTAATAATTCAAAATGAGGCATCACAAAATAAATTCAGGTTACTTGAAATAATCATCAATAAAATTAAAAAAATATTAGCTGTGTTTGCTTGGTACTCATTTTATAGTTTGGGGCTTTATGAAATATTCTCTGTAGGGTTGGGGCAAAATGCTGGAAAATATAACTGGAAGTGCTTTCGTTTCTATATTCTGGCATAGAATTAATTTGATGGGACCTACTTTATTCATGAATTGTACATAGAGGAGTTTCACATGAGGGGTCATGTTAAAGATAAAGCTATTCGTGGCATCCACCTAACAACTTTTAGGTTCAATTGGTTCTTTACATTGTATGCTCTTTGAACAAATGGTAAGAAAGTGGCCACACTTCTAATTTAAACCATAATTCAGCCAAAACGTTTGAGTGGGCTCATACTTGCTCAATCTGCAAGCCTTATTGGGTTTTTGTGGTGCAGAGATATAAAGTCAGTTTGGGCCTGCACCTAATGGTTCATGAATGTCTAGTTGTTATAAACACAGAAGGATTCAAGAGCCTAAGTTAATGCTGCTACGTTTTTTGTTAAGAGTTATCTAGTCACCCCCTAGTGTTGGTCAAAGTCTCTACCCTATTCATTAGTACTTTCTTCATCTTTTCTTATCAAACATTTCTTGTATTACCCTCTTCTTTTATTAATTTAATGTTGGATTTTGACGTCATGATGGACATAGCCTTATTTTCAAATTCACTGTTCTGTTTCTCATGTTCTGAATATAGGTATCTTGTTGTATGAAATGCTCTATGGTCGGACACCATTTAGGGGGAAGAATAGACAGAAGACATTTTCCAATATCTTACACAAGGATCTTACTTTTCCAAGCAGCATCCCGGTAAATGAAACAGTGCTTGATATTAGCAGTTGAAGACAACGTTTGCCATCTAATTCATTTTCTTAAGAAAGTGATTTCTATTTCGAAAGTTTTTGCATAAAATATTTCCTAACTTCAAATAATGGGTGGTAAAATACATTTAGAAAGCATAAGCATTCGAATACATAAATATTTGCTGTGAAATTTTATTTGGCGTGGAAAATAATATATTGCATTGATAAAGGATAAGTCTTTTGTATCCATATATATTATGTAACCAAAAACGATATATAATGCACTATTCTGATCATGCATCCAACTAGTACTATGCCTGATATATGAATTACCCATGAATAGTCTTCTGGTTGACACAGATACTGTTCTGATATGTGTTAATTGATAATAGTTTCAAAAAATTTCAGGCTAGTCTAGCAGCCAGGCAGTTGATTAATGCACTATTGCAAAGAGACCCAATCAATCGCCTAGGTTCAACTACTGGTGCCAATGAAATCAAACAACACCCTTTCTTCCGGGGAATCAATTGGCCTTTAATTCGCAACATGGTAGTATCCTTTTGGTTGCTTTGAAAATTAGTAGTTAACAAAATATTGGCTAGAGTAAATTGTCAAATTTGTCCTTGAAAGATCCATCATCGGTCATGTTAGTTCATGAACATAGGAAATTACACCCCAAATTCCTAAATATGTACTTATTCAGTCAGTCATATTAGTCCACGAATGTCCATTCTATCTGTCAAACTTAGTTCCTGAGATCCCTAACATGGGAACTAATTTGGCCAAAGAAATTTACATTCAAGGAATTCAAGCGTAGTTTCCATCATTCTTGAATTAATATGACATATCTTTTAGGGACTAATTTGATTTCTTACTTAAATGTTTACAATGACCTCTAGAAGCCGATCAGGGTGGGTTAAACAGGTGAAATTGTACATAACCTGACTTGTGACATGTTTGACCTTTGAGTGCGCCACTGCTCCACTTAAACTTTTGGGCTAGAGAAAAAAAAAAATAACAGCTTCTCAAATCGTATTTTCAATAATTAATAAAGTTAGCAGCTGGTTATTATTGGCATATTGCATTACTCACACGTTATCTTTTCCATGCAGAGTCCACCCCCATTAGATGTTCCTCTTCAATTGATAGGAAAAGATCCAAAGGCAAAGGATATGAAGTGGGAAGATGATGGGGTGCTAATTAGCTCGATTGATTTGGATATTTTTTGAAGACCTCCTATTTACACCGGATGTTTTGTTAGCATCATGTCTGTCTCACGCTTCAACAATCACTGCGTCTCAGACATTCAAGTGAAATAGTGTACCTATTGATTTGATTATATAGTACCATCTTGTGATATAGCAATAGACAACTTGAAACAAAATCCAAGTTCTCTAGGATTAGAGTCGAAGTGGTATGTATATTGAATAAGGATGTTTACTTTTAGGAAATGCTTCCTAGTTATGCACATGAACAATAAATCAATAATGCTTTTGTAGATGGATAAAAGATGAGTTTAATATTTAATATACTATTAATGTAAAGACTTCTATACTGACATCTAATTAAAAACTTATGACACTCAAAAAACAACCTAATACTATTACTAAGTATTAAAAAATGAAGGATAAATTTAAACAATGATAAAAGATTTTCCAGATATCACATCTCCTCATCTATACAAATATCCATTTGTAAAGCAAAACATCATCAACATTTCCCAAAATCAAAGAATAGCAAAACATAGGTCCCAATATTTCCCTATAGAAAATAAAAATAAGGCAGAAACCATACATAGCTAGACATGACTATCCTGTAACATAAAATAATAAACCCTATCTTAATCGTATGCTCTAAAAATGACCGGTTCCAATACATAGCCAACCACTCAAATGACGAAGAAACAATTGAGGAACAGAATATAGTCTTTGGATTGAATGGTGGATACTCTAATACATGATAGATATATTAGTTCCTAGAAGCTACTACCCACCTAAGCTCTTTCCAATTTGTATCGATGTTAACTCTCGCAACGAGACACCTCCCTCGATCTCCAATTTACTTTCGTACCCATTTAAGTAATCACTTGTTTAGGCATATAAGGAGACTTAAAATTGAAGAAAACTCCATTAATGGACCATGAGCAAATCATATAAGTAGACTTAGATACTACCTATTGGGTTGTGGATCCTTGTGACTCATGTTGCTCAAATTCTTCATTTACATCCAACGTGAAACTTATTCACTAATACTTTACCTCAACACAATAGCATTAAAATGAAGATGATATTGCTCCTTGATAGTTTTTGGTGTAGGTGTGATGAGTAAGATAGTTGAAATGTTAGTAGGAATAGTTGAAAATCGTAGTTGAAGAAGTTTTAGTAAGAGACTCAAGAGATGGAGAATTGATATCTTGATTACTTCTTCTTCATATCATTTACAATGGGATGGCTTGCCTATTTATAGGCATCCTCCTCCATTAGGTTTGAGCGATCCAATATTCTAGAACTTTCTTCTAGAAGTATCTTGAAATTTGAAGATTTACAAAGTTCTAGAACACTCTCTAGAAGTATCTACAAAATAGAAGATCTAAATAGTTTTTCCTAGTATTTTTCTAGACTATTCTAGAAATTTGTATCAATTTCTAATACTCCTCCTTGATGCAAATTTCTGTAACTCCAAGCTTCGTGTGTAGCTGTTCAAATTTTGGTCTTGGTAGTGCTTTAGTAAAAATGTCTGCAACTTGATCTTCAGTTGTGCAATACTCGAGCTTGATTTCTTTAGTTCCTTCTGCTTCTTTGATAAAGTGATATTTGATTGCTATGTGTTTTGTTCTACTATAATGCACTGGATTCTTTGTCATTGCTATAGCTGATTTGTTGTCGCAGTAGATTGTAGTAGGCTCTTTTTGTTTTTCTCCCATTTCTTCAAGTATTCTTCATAACCATATTACTTGACTTGTAGTCTCGGCAGCTACTACATATTCTGCTTCTGCTGTTGATTGTGCAACTGTTACTTACTTCTTTGAAGCCCATGAGATTGTTCCTGATCCTAGTGAAAAGGCATAACCAGATGTGGTTTTCATGTCGTCGATCGATCCTGCCCAGTCACTATCGGTGTAGCCAAGTAGCTTTGAGTTGCTCACAGTTTGGTACCATATACCATACTCTTTTGTGCCTTGTAGATATCTTAGGATTCTTTTTGCTGTTCTAAAATGAATTTGGCTTGGACTTTGCATGAATCTTGAAAGAAGACTTACATCATACATTATGTCTGGTCGTGTGGTTGTGAGATATAGTAAGCTTCCAATCAAGCTTCTGTAACGTGATGCATCAGCTTCCAGTGCACCATCATTTTTCTTCAATTTCTCATTTGTCACCAATGGAGTGCTGACAGTCTTACATCCATTCATCTTAAATTTCTTGAGTAGTGCTTCAACATATTTCTTCTGTGAGATAAATATTCCTTCTTTCTTTTGTTTTACCTCTATTCCGAGGAAGTAGTTCATTAAGCCAAGGTCGGTCATTTCGAAGGTCTTCATCATATCTTCTTTGAACTTAGCTATCATCTCCACATTGTTTCCTGTGCAAATAAGATCATCTACATACAAGGAGACAATGAGTATATCATACTGACCTTGAATCTTGGTGTATAAAGTTACCTCACTTTTGCTCTTCCTAAATCCTTGATTTGTAAAGTATTGATCGATTTTACTGTACCATGCTCGTGGAGCTTGCTTCAATCCATATAGAGCTTTTTTCAGTCTTTGTACTTTGCCTTCATTACCTTTGCTGACGAAGCCTTGCGGTTGCTCTACATAAATCTCTTTCTTGAGAAAGGCAGATTTTACATCTAGTTGGTAAATATTCCATCCTTTTTGTGCAGTAAGAGCAATTAGAGTTCTTATAGTATCCAAGCGAGCTACTGGAGCAAATGTCTCGTTGTAATCAACTCCAGGTTGTTGTGAGTATCCTTTAGCTACCAGCCTTGCCTTGTACTTTTGTATTTTGCCATCAGGATTAAGCTTGGTCTTATAGACCCATTTTACCCCAATGATATCTTTATCTGTGGGACAATCTACTAGCTCCCATGTGTTATTTTTCTCAATCATTTTTATCTCTTCTTCCATTGGCTTGACCCATACTTCTTATTTTGACGCTGCTTCAAAGCTCTCAGGTTCAGTTATGGCCAGGTTACAGGTCTCATATATATCCACTAAAGATCTAACTCGTCTTAGAGTAGACTCTGGTGAGGAATGTTGTTGTTGTGGAGGTTAAAAATTCTCACCTGGGACTTCTTCAATTTCTTGAGGTTGCTGCATTGGTATGGAAACATTTTTCTGAACCTTTTCATATTTCCAATTCCAAGCAGCATTTTCATCAACTTCAACATCTCAACTAATGGTGAGCTTCTTGGTTTGCAAGTTGTAGACTCGATATCCTTTTGACTGTGTGCTATATCCCAAGAAGATACCTCGTACGGTTTTGTCTTCTAGTTTGTGTCTCTTCTCTTCTGGAATGTGTATGTAGCAAATTGATCCAAAAACCCTTAGATGTTTTGCTGATGGTTTTTGCCCACTCCAAGCTTCAATTGGAGTTTTATCTTGGACAGCCTTAGTTGGACATCTGTTAAGTATGTAGACTACAGTATAAACTGCTTCAGCCGAGAAAGTATTTGGCAATTCTTTTTCCTTCAGCATGGATCTAGCCATCTCCATTACCGTACAGTTTTTCCTCTCCGTTACTCCATTTTGTTGTGGAGTATATGCAACAGTAAGTTGTCGTTGAATGCCTTCATCCTCATAGAATTTATCAAACTCTTGAGATGTATACTCTTTGCCACGATCACTTCTTAATACTTTTATCTGTTTACCGCTTTGCTTCTCGACAAGAGCCTTAAACTTCTTGAATATTCCAAAGACTTCTAACTTTGCTTTGATGAAGTAGACCCAAGTCATTCTAGATAAATCATCGATGAAAAGGATAAAATACTTGTTATTATGAAGTGATGATGTCTGCATTGGTCTGCAAATATCTGTATGAACAAGCTCCAATAAGTCTTTTGCTCTCCAAGCTTTTCCAATAGAAAATGGCAGTTGATGTTGCTTGCCAAGGAGACATCCTTCATAAGCTTCATTATTTTCTTCAAGACATGGAAGATCCTTCATCATATTCTTTTGATGTAGAAGTTTTAAGGCATGGGTATTGAAGTGACCAAATCTTCGATGCCAAAGTCGTGAAGTATCAACTTCTACTTTCATGGCAATATTAGCGCCTTGTTGAAAGCTTATTGGAAAACTTCAATTTCTTTTCTCCATCTTTACTTGGCCAATCTCTTGCTTTTTGCTGTCATATATCTTACATGTGTTCCCTTTGAAGTAAAGAGAATAACCTTTCTCCATCATTTGGCCAATACTTAAGAGATTTTTCTTGAGGTTGGGGACTAGTAAGACATCAGTAATAAGTTTCGTACCTTTCTTTGTCTCCACCATAACAATGTCTCTGCCTTTTGACTCAGTGATAGTACCGTTCCCCATTCGAACTTTCACTTTGATGGATTCGTCGATATCCTTGAAGATGTTTATATTTTTTGCCATGTGATTGCTGCAACCATTATCCAAGTACCAATTTCCACTCGTTTCAGTGTTGGAATCTTGGGTAGCATAAAAGAGATGTGGTTCTCGATCATACTCTTCAGCGAGATTTACTTGATACTTGTTTTTGTTGTGGCAATACTTTTTCACGTGTCTAAATTTCTTGCAGTGTCGACATTGTGGTTTGCCACGATATCGACATTCCTCATGATTTGTCCTCTTACAGATACCACATGGAGGGTATTTATCTTGATTGTTTCTAGAGAAATTTCTAGAATTCTCTTTGTTTCTAGAAGTTTCTCCATTATTCTTTCTCACTTCATTCCCTTTATTCTGAGACCGTAATTTGAGCTTTGATTGAAAGGCATTTTCTATAGAGTCCTCATCATGCCTTTTTCAACCTTTGCTCATAAGCTTCAAGGGACCCTACCAACTTTGTTACTGATAGAGTAGATAGGTCCTTTGTTTGCTCAATAGTAGTGACAATTGGATCATACTTACGGGGAACTGTAATCAGTAATTTCTTAATAATTTTTTGTCAAGAATATTTTCTCCATAAGCTCTCATTTGATTAACCATTTCTTTTATTTTGGAATAGTAATCCTTGACGGTCTCAGACTCTTTCATTTTTAATAATTCAAACTCTCGCCGTAGAGTTTGGAGTTTTATAGCGCGTACCTTATCACTTCCTTCAAACTCCTCCTGCAGCGTACTCCATGCTTCTTTGGCTGTTGTAGCACCCATTATTCTTGAAAAAATTGCATTAGTCACAGCTTGTTGTAGAGTAAACAAGGCCTTCGAATCCTTTTGTTTATTCTCCTTCAATTCTTTTTTTTGATCTGTAGTAAGGAATGATATATCTGAGGGAGTAGTGAATCCTTCTTCCACAACATCTCACAAATCTTGGAAAG